TGAAGTTAATTTATCACTTATCTTTGGAAAGGGCTTTGCTCCCCGTGAAAGCGGCTCTCTCTCGAGGACTCTCTTCCATGAGCTGCCAGAGCACCAAGTGGGTTGGGACCCAAGCGTTCGAGAAGAAACTAGAAAGCAGAGACCTCTTTCTAGCTGCCTGCAGAAAGGTCGAGCTAGCTCCTAGGTCTTGGCTGTTTGTTTTCCTGTGCTCAGATTCAAAGATACCCACGGCCAACGTTTATAAAAATGCACGAATTAATCCCTGTCTCTTGCCTGTTTTGTCTTTAAAATGCTAAGAAAAAGGGAAGAGGAGAGCTTGAAAGATTCAAACTCTGCTTGGGAAGGCACAATCTGCATCCACAGCCCTTGGTAGCAGGGGCTGGGTAGAGGATGACTAAGCCAGGCTCTAAGTCGATCTTAGGCTGTGCAAAAGCAGCTCAGAAGTCTCCTCCTCTCAGACATGCGGGAACTTCCTGGTTTCAAACCTGGCTGCAAGAGGGTGCCACTAATCTTTGGGGAGTAGCAGATAGTGCCCCAAGCCTCCAGGGAGTCAATGTAAATGGCTGCAAAAGATGTGGCTGTTAAGTAGCACATTAAGTTATGCGAGCCTGTGATGAGGCAGAGGTGTCGGGGGCTCTGGTTTACTGCGTTCGTTCGGGTGCATCTGTTTTACCCACTGGCTCGAGAGCCAAGGAGTTAGGGAGCCAGCCAAGCCGACGCAAGAACCCGTCTCACCATGGGCACGACTGGATAGTAACCTCTCTAAATGGGGGATCATGTTTCCCTCTGTGTGGATATCTGTCTTGGATACACCTGAAGGAAACTCCTTTAGAGGCTTTGGTTATGACTGTCCAGATGTGATGGGAACCGACAGCAGGGGCTTGAAACTTGGTGAGGGAGGGGCGCAGTTGGTCTCTTCTCCGGATCTGCTCCTGGGAGCTTTGCTTGGTATTCCAGCGAGAAAGCAACTGAACTGGGGAAGGCTGGGGAGATTTGAAACGAGACCTCTGCTGTTTTTTATTCTGCCCTTTTTCAAGCTTAACTTACCTATTTTTAATTTCCCGTCTCTGCAAACCTCCTGCCTCCCGCCCCAGGTGTGAGTTTCTCGTCTCTCACCCTTCCCAGCGAGTGCCCTACTTTGAAGCTCGGTGATGATAAACTGCAGACTTCCTGTTGGTATTTGCAGGCCAGGGGAGCTTCTCCTTTCATCAGCTGCTCGAAGGACCTTGAAACTAAGTAGTTAGGCCAAATGGCAGGCCACGCGCTCCCTGGTGCTCTGGGGCACCGTAGAGCAGCCTCATGGAGGGGAAAAAACAGAAGTTGCAGCTTGTACATCTCTCTTAAGAAAGAAAGAAAACAAAAAAAAAAAAAAAAGCCCCCGTGGCCGCG